AGGGTGGGGAGGAAGCAATCAAGCTTGAAGCGCTCTCACTTTTAAAGGAAATTTTATTAGTAATCTCACTTAGGAGCTTAGCCAGGGGAGGGGGAATAATTGCTTGTTTTATCAATGAGCAGGCATTTCATTTTCAAAAACGAGTCACCACTGACATTTCAATCCTCAGTAGCAAAGCAGGCAATAATTCTGCAAAAATTTCACATCCTTGGCAACACCCGCTGGAACCAGCAAGACTATCCGTGTGGAGAGAGTAAACCCAGGTTAAGCCTTTACAAGATCAGGGCCACACAGAGATGACTGGGAGGCAAACAGGCTGTAAAGATCTCCATTTCTTTCATCTATCCTGTTTTTGCGACCATCCTTCTAGAGCTGCACTGACATATATAGACTCACCAGCATGATAAACGTTAAGCGATAATACCCTTTTTTAGGCTATTTGTCTAGAAGGGAGGAAAAATACCACAGAACTGAACTCTTTCAGTAGCAGCAGGTTGTTTTAGTTTGTAAAAGCTGAAAAGAAGGAAAAAAAGTAAGCATTTTCCTCCAGCCTCATTAGTAACAGCTTCTACTTCTTAGAAGCATATGTTCAGTGATAGAAAATAGAAGAATATACCTTCAAAATTATATATACTTTTGTGTGTGCATGACTTCATACCTTTTAAGGCCAGAAAAGCTATTATGATCACCTCAGTGTCTGGATAACCTAGAAGTCAGAAAAATCAGTCCTTGCACTCAGCTCGCTGTGCCGAAGCATCTACTGGAGACAGATACCCATGAATGGAACACAGACTAGCTTTAGCCATTGCACCATGAATAAACACTACAACCAGCACTCCTCTGTGCGTAACTGCACCACAACCGTGACAGGAAAACATTTGGTCAATGCCATCGTAATACAGTGACAAGGAAGATGAAACAGACTCTCTTTAGGGGTGAAGGTGCTCAGCAAAGAAATTAAAGCATTTGGGAAAACGGGGCAAGAACAATTCAAGTTGCAGCACATTTTGGGGTGGTCTCATCCTCAGGGAAAAAAAAAAAATCAAGACGAAGAAGCAGAAAAAGCAATGGCTTTACAAGAGCACTAGTGGGGCAGCAGCAAGTCATCTGTTCTGCAGTACCGCAGCCAAGCAAAGCTTTAAATCCCAACTGATAAAATGCATGTCATCACCATATTCCATATCATTATCCTCATCACACGTCAGAGCCCTACGCGGGAGCAGGGCTGCCTCCCAATGCCTTTTCACTGGCTAATGCTCCCCACCAATGCTTCTCCAGCTTAAAGGTTGATGCCATGGAAACAAGATCCGCACATGGAAACACACTTGAAGGCAGGCCCTTCAGCAAAAAGCAAATTCTGCATCTTCACTATGTGCTGAAAATGGGCAATACAGAAGCTGCTGCTAATAAAATAAATAATAAATTTTATCTGAGGTGTGAATAATCCTATCTCAGCTACTCCCCTAGGAAACACGCTGAACACAGGCACAGCTTCAAAAGCATCAGTACAAAAGAATTGCTCAGGCTGGCTCGTACTCACAGTACTGCTTAGAATGTAAAAAAATTCTTGACAAAGAACTGTTTCCTTCCTATACCTAACAGCAGCAGCTACATAGCCTGCAAACCACATGAAGAGAGCTGGTGACCACTAAGGGCTTTGCACTCAGCTCCTACAGCTCTTCCTGCTCACCGTGCCCAGCCTCCCACTAGCCAGCTCTCCAGGCTGTGAGCAAGTCTGCCACAAAGAGCCCTGGCCACAGGCAGACCCCAGTCAGCTGCATTACGCACGCTCGCCAGCTCCGGGGACCCGCACCTGGACAGCCACTCGCAGCCAACACATTGGGCAGATGCGCTGGCTGCAGCTCCATAGCCTGATGGGGTAACCCATAGCCAACCATAAATTACAAGAGTGCTACTTGCATCCCTTTCAGCTGGCAAAAGCACCTCAGTCGAAATGCCAGCTTAGCCAGCAATGACTGAAGTCAAGCTAAATCCCAGGCGGCTGAAGGCCGTGCCCTGGATTCACCTTTGACAGCACGGAGCAGGGACAGCACAAGCCACGTGCCAGCAACAGTGCCATGCTCCAAAGAGGGCTTCACCATGATTCAGGTGAAAAGAAAATGGTGTTCACAGCTTCTGCCTTATCACAGGGTGTCTCCTCCTGACAACGCAGACTGGACTTCACTGGCACATCCCCATCTATTCCCCCTGCAAAAACCCTAAAGGACTCTGAGGTCAGCTTTCAAAACATTGGCCTTAGCCTGCAGTGAGAGACATGGATGGAGACTATCTGTCCACCTGCAGGCTTCCTGCAGGGCTCAGAAGGTACCACACCACAGAGCACAGTCAAGGTTGCTGCTGCTTTGTGAGTGCATCTCTTTTTCTCTCTCTCTCCCCCCCCCCCCCCGTAAAATGTTTCGTGACCACCTGCAATAGGAAACAATTACCCAAAAATGCATAGTTTGTCAGTACAACTAGGGGCCAGCCAGAGAAAGGCATTGCTGAACAGATGTTTTATGCTTATATTAGATATAGCAAGCTCTGCAGTCAGTACAGGTCACTAATAGAAGCCTGGTATTTACTGCAGCAACCATAATTTTCTGGCTACTTGGCTTCTGTCCCCACCCCCATTATGCTGCAGAGAAATTAAATTCCAGCAGACATCTGCATGCTCCTAGCGGAGAGATAAAAACATTCAAGGAAACTTACAGTTACAAACATACAATAATGCTTTCTAATTGGGTAATTTTTTACATTCTATTTTAATCTTAAAGACAAATCAGTAGCTAGAATCACTACTAGTGAGTGAAGTATTCCATGAAAGTAAGCAACACAACCCCCTACACACACAATTCATACTAACATTTCTCCTCTGCTTAGAGGGCTATTAGAGAAAAAAAAAGTTGTGTGAGGATACTGTCCATACCAAAGGTCTCAAATCACTTTAGAAATGCCTGTAAATAAATGGCAGGAAAAGAAAGCTTGGCGACCATGTTCCTCACAACTTACCTCATTATCCATGCCCTTTCAATCATAAACAAATCGTTTCTTGCCTTCATTAAGCATCAGCAAGCTGTTTTCTACCTAGCAATGGTCGCAGTTCAGATCTATCCATCCAGATTAACAAACGCATTGAGAGTCAACCAAATGTCGGGCATTTTATTGATCACAGTCAGAGCATAAGTTACACGGCTGGTGAGGCGAGACCTTAATACAGTGAAAACCAACACCGGGCAAAAATACCAACATCACTTTCTGCAGCATGTAGATATACACCTGTGACTTACCAAAAGCAGTGGATTATACAAAATATGGAATAGGTATTTCATTTTTAAGACTAGAATATCTTTGCCAATATAAATATATATGCATTTTTATACATATATACACACACCACATATATGACAACATGTGCATATATAAAAACATGCACGTTTATTAGGAAGAGAGGGCTATCAACTCAAGGAAATGGTATCAGGGAAGAAGGTTCAGGGCAAAGTAAGGGTAAATAGAGAGTTCCTTCTTACATCTGGGATAGGGAGATCTTGCTTAAAAATACATCCCTCCTTTCGCTCCCTCAGTCACCCCAGAATCAGAATACCCCACAGTCTGTAAAACGTATTTGTCTACACAACAGCCCTATGAGGTAAGCAGGAATCGTTCCCTTCTCTGCATAGATAGGAAACAAACATTTAAGGAATTAAAATTTATGTGGATGTTTAGACATACAACCTCCCATTGATTTCAATAGGTAATTAACAGTCAAAATACCCTTTGCCAACCTGTCCCTAAGGGACGTCTGAGCACTGTAAAACAAGAAGTCTGGAGAAGGGCATTAAACTGCAAGTTTCAAGCTAGCATCTTGACCACAAGACCATTCTTTTTCTTTCTATACTCCCAGGGATCAGCCTGAGGATGCGCTGGGCAAAGATGGGGTCAGAACTGCAGGCCAAGCCAGGCTAGTGCTGCAGAAGAGGCAAAGAAACAGTATATGGGTTGCAAGCAAGAAGGAAAAGGAGCTGGACCTCACAAGGGGACAGCAGAACGAAAATTCACAAGCAACTAAACATCACAGTACTCATCTACAGGTACAAAAGGAGTTCCACACTATCTATTTTTGGTTCACTGCTCTGCCACTGTGGGTTTATTCCCTACAGTTCAATTATTTCTCGGAAATATTCAAGGATACAGAGGCTTCCATCACTTCCCCTCAGAGAGAAGAGCACGACACATGAAAAAAGGCTTCTAAGGCTGAATGAAGACATGATGTTTAAGGAGCTGCATTTACTTTCTAGTGAATTTCTACCATTTCTAGCATTTAGTTGCATAAAAGCATAGCTCTGGGTTGAGGGGGCAAGAGGAGAAAAACATTAAAAGGGTGCACACATAAGTCCTTTCATCTAGGATTTTATACTCGCCTTCTGCCACGGCATTCCATGTCTTTTGATAAAATCCACTGCAAGAAAACTGTCAAG